TTACAGTTGATGTTGGTTTGACATAAATCCATACAGAGATGGAAATGAAAGGGAAAGGAGGTAGAAGAGGAAGGGAGTTAACAAAAAAGAAAGAATACCACCTTCATTCTGATGGGATAATGAGATCTAATAACACTGGATGTGCCTTGGAAGGTTTCCAATTTTCCAATGAAAATCTGTGTTAAAAATTTTGAATCTGGCTTTTAGCATCACAATATATTGCATAATCTCTGCTGACATATACCATATCGCCAGATTCTTGCCCATACACACCCCTAATCAAATCGATATAAAGACACTCCGCTAACATGGCACCGATCCTTTGTTGGGCAAGAACAAAGAACCCTTTTGATCAGGAAAGATGTAGGGGGCGACGAATTAATATGTTTTAAGTGTTACATTTGAAATCTCTAAGTTGGTATCACTTCTACTATGCTTACCCCAACTCTAACCAGTCATACAAGTGGGTCAGAACACCACACAGAGCTGCCTTCACAGTCACAGTTTTAACTGAATTTACAAACATAAAATGAAATGCTGTATATAAATAATGCCAACCTGTTTTATTAGGGATATGTATTAGTGAAATTCTGACGATTCGATACATATCACGATACAGGGGAGACGATGCGATATATCGCGATATATTGCGATGCATTCAGCCAGACGATAAGAGATTTTTTTAGACGATAGAGATTTTTTTAGACTAAATCTGTCATTTTGACAGAAACAGAAGACAAGACTATATCGCGATCTTTATCGTTACAGCACGTGCTTCAAAATATATCGCAATATTGATTTTAGGCCATAGCGACTAATCCTACACCCTACACTATGACCCTCTACAGAAACTCACGTGTAGTGATTTTATCCACTGCAACATCCACATAGCACAGAGAGTCTGCACGTATATACCGTTAAAAGCTAGACAATGCAGGGATTTGGACTGATTTTACATTTTTTATGAGTCAACTCTAGCAAATAACATATTGGCTACCTGCACCCAAAATAGTTGAAGAGATGGACAAAGGTGGGGATGTCTTTTACTGCCTCACAAAGAATATAAAAAGCTGATTTTTGATTTTTTAAAGCAGCAAAGAAAATCAGATCGTAGCAGACTAGGCGATTGTCCCAGCGGATTCTGGTTTTCAGTTATTACACATCTCACTTTTCCTGATTTTACAACAAGTTGTTCTCACAAAACTGTGATTTTGTGCAACAAAAGTGTTTATATTTATTGATGCAATATTCGTGTTTAACACTGATGGGAAAAGTCTCAAAAGGAGACTGTCTTTACTTCACACAACATGCTAATGCAACCAATGGGACCAATACGAGAGCCATTAAATGGCGAGACAAAAGTTTTGCTGAGACAGAAATAGATGCCAAATGTGTGCTGACAGCATAAGAGGTCTCACAGAGTGCTCATTAGCACTTCTTGGTCAACACATGAAGTATTAAAAGTGCACTGGCTATGCAGCCCACCATTTGTCTGCAGCCATGACGTGGCAGCTGCTTCTCTTACAACTAATGAGTCATCTGCAATTGTGTTCAGTGAACCCTGCAAGGATTTTCTTCATAAATTTTGCAGAAATTTATCTTTTCAATTTATGCGAGAATGGCGAGAAAGCCATTAGCATGAGAGCTTTTCACACACACACACACACACACACACACACACACACACACACACACACACACACACACACACACACACACACACACACACACACACACACACACACACATGAATGATAACACCAGAGCTCATTTAAAAGTTGCAGTCTGGGATGCCAGTCAATGCTTTAGTTTAACCTGCTGGAACCATCCATCAGTCAGCACCAGGAACCTTCATGCAGCTACGGACCTTCAGTCCCTCTAATGAACACAAAATGGGCTCAATGTGCACATAGTGAAATTATATAGGCATTAAACATAATCTGCTGTGATAAAAACTGGAATTTAATGGAAAATGTTTGGAACTGGCTACAGAGTTGAAGGAATTGAACTGGGAGAAGCCCAGAAAAAATAAATCCCATTTTGTTCCATTTTCAACATGGGTCAGGCAGTTCGTGGAAATGTTTGACTGATTGTTCTTCTTGTCACATATTTTTCACCAATCTTTTCACAGGGCTATCAATATTACACAGGCAAAAGCTGCTCGCAGGTTGAAAGTTTGAACATTTCTACCTATTTTCTCTTAATCTGGGAAATTTATGAAGTTGTTTCTTCATTTAAAAAAGATCCTGTGGACCGTTGAGATTTACTACAACATAAATTCTAACGTCACATCCAATTCCAAAATGTAAACAAGAGGAACACTGCAGGGAAATGAAAGTGTCTTGTCATTGAAAACAAACAGGAGTATGACAGTGACACGAGCCAAGCCTTCAATGAAAATACCCAATTTGGATTTACTAAAACCCTTTAAACATTATTAGTTCCATGTTTGTTTTTATGATTTCCTAAAAGAGAACTGATAGCACGGCTGGTCGATATATCGGGCCGATATTTGACACATTTTTATATATCAGCATTGACTGATAAACCTCCTTAGTGGGGATGTATGAATATATTGATATGGCATTATATCGTGACACTTTTTCCTGTGATATTACAATGATATTCAAAAGCTGTGTATCGATTTTTTGGGAAAATTTTACACTTAGCAGTTCACAAAATTAAGATTTAACAGCTGGTTAAATTCAGTGTTCAAAAAACGATTCATCTTCTGAAATGTTGTGCATCTACTGGTTTTATTATTAATATTTTAGCATGCAGATGAGGTGGAAAACATTTAAATATCGGCCGTGAAAACTGGACCAAAATGTCAGCAGCACAAATTGGCCATTGGCTGACTATGACCTTTACATATCGGTATCGGCAGTAGAAAAAAATAAAAATCAGTCAACCTCTATTTCCTAACAACAACAAAAAATTTACTGTTCATTTTAGGGATGTGTTATGGTGAAATTATGGCGATAAGAAACGTATCACGGTACAGGGGAAACGATGCAATATATCACGATGTATTGTGATACATTCAGTCAGGAGATATTGGCAATTTTTTGACTGAATTTGTTATAGGAAAATTCCATAAGCAGTCCAAACTGATCCTTAACATGTTTAATATGAGGTCTCTGAACCATAACAGAGAGATTTACATTTCAATGGTGGAAACAAAACCCATTGTACACTGCTGCCAACTAGCAGTCGGCGTTTGAATTGCACCAAATAAAAGAAAATACATAAAATACATTAATATTGCAGGAAAAAAATCACGATATATTGTGGTATCGATATTTTTGATCACCTGTTTTTTAATATCTATATAATATCGCTGGAAAAAATATCACAAAATATTGCCATATCGATATTTTCTTACATCCCTAGTACATTTACAACTTAAGAGAGTTTCTAAAGAGTCTACATCTCTAATAAACAAAATACTGAAGACAAAACAGCTTCGAGTTCAATTTGAGTTGTTTTGTTAATTATATAATGAGCCACCTGGTTTATGTACCGACCCCAAAACTGTACCAGTGGAGGCTGTTATTGTTGTCCTCTTGGTGTTGGGCTCTGATTGACGATTATCCTGTTTTCTCCTCATTAATGTCAAGTCCTGATTAAAAGTAGGTGTCATTAGTTTATAAAGTCACTGAGGTGGTGCTTGCTGTAAAATAGTTATATATAAATATATTTTAATTTACTTTAGTAACAATAAAAGGTGGAGCAAAAATAGCCCCACATCCTGCTGACATTACAGTGAGAAGCAGCTTTCACAATGATGACGCCATAACCAGTTTTCCTACATGCTGATGCTAGGGATGTAATCAAACTCTCAATTTCAACCTCAAAACAATGTAATTGAGGTAAAAAATACTATTAAAATAACTTTGTCAGTCTGTTTTATACCCCCCTAATGATATGCGCTTCCTTAAGCAGCCCATTATTGATAACAATAATTGAATCATCTACTAAAGTAATAAGACTTCATTCTTTTATGATTTTTGTTCATATTTAACCCCTTGTAGACTTTTGACAAATTTTCATCAAATCACTTCTAGCCTTAAAACTGCCCAAGTATCAGGATTATTACCTTCATCAAAATCCAATCATTTGGTAAACGACCTGTATTTGCACCTTCTTAGGGTTCTACAACCCCCCAATGTGCTTTACAACACAGTCATTCACCCATTCACACACACGCTGGTGGGGATGAGCTATGATGTAGCCACAGCTCATATCTAGTCCTCTACATGTCTACTGCCCTCTGGTGAAGGAGCTACAGGTGGCAAGGCTAGATTTTATATATGTATCACTGCTATTTTGTTTTAAAATTACACACTAGAACACAGTGTTATTTAGTAGCTATAATAACATTGGCCAAAATAATTGAATGAAAAATGTTTATTTTATTAATATTTTTATTTCAGCCATTAAAGAGTTAATGATGCACCCCAAAAGTGTCTGTTGATCTAATAAACTAGAACTCTACATGAACCATGTGTTTATTCATGAGTGAACTCCAGTCATCCCAGCATCAGATCAGAGGTGACATTAGGGGTGTTTTCCACTGGAAGACGCTACCCGGGACAGTGGGTGGCTTCGAACCAAATCTGACAGCATTACAGGAAGTGGGATTAAATAACTAACCAGAGTTTAGCTCCATCTACGTGTAGGAGACCAGGAACAAGCCTCTCTCTGGCAGTAGGCTGTAACTTTGTAGCAGAGGCCCCATAACACAGGAAACAGCGCTGTAACAACTAGGCGCGCCTGTAACAATTCCCAAAGTACTCCTCTTCCTCACAAAAGACACACATTCCTGCTTTTTCCTTTCATGCGAGCAAACTCTGCACTGCTGTGATTTGCATTCCTCCGGTTAAGACAAAACAACCGGGCTGATGCCCTGTTCTTATCTGAATGTCTCTAACTTGTTTGGTCTGAGAGCAGAGAGCTAGTAGGGCGAGCTAGCGATGGAAACATGCAAGTTTTCTTACCAACTCCATACTTTTCCTTCTTAGAAGGAACCCAGCGAGACATTCTTGGAGTGGAAGATTCCTCGATTCCAGTCGTCTTGTGTGGAAAAAGCGCAGAGTGAGACTTCCGGTTGAATTGGTGTCAGTAAAGTGGAGTTTAGTTCAGTTTTGTGAGAGCTTTAAGGGAGCTGCTCCGAGCAGCCATTTTCCACTGGTGACAGGACGCTCCGCCAGGGGGAGGAAGGGATCGCGAAAGTTTTCACCCAGTAGGCGTTCACGAGGAGGCATCCTGCTCGGCTCCTACGAAACTACAGCCAAGTGACGCGCGACTTCTGCAGATTCTTATCTGATCAAAACAGATGTACACCATGCTGCCGCAGATAGACTGTAAGGTCTGTCCGTCACCAAAACACCTCCACATTAAACAGGGGCGGATCTAGACCGTTTAATTAGGGGGCAACAGGTCCATGAAGAGTGGCAAGGGTGACTTCCCCCTTGAAGGGTGTTGCCCATGTGTAAATAAAAGACCAACAAAAACACTCCAAAACTATTTATTAAGTAATTATTTCTTCTGAGAATACAGTAGAACTTTGCAGAAAGACGTAACAAAATTGCCACAAAACAAATACCAACATTCATAAATACAGAAGGCATGTTTAAAGGACAGAACCTAACTTATTATATAGGACTGAATTCAGTCATCACTTTTAGATGAGCTTAAGCCATATTTTAAGTAAACAATTCGTAATTGTTATTTAACCTTATCCTAATTTTGCCTTCAAAATGAAATATACCAACTAAACTACTAATTTACTGAAACTCTTTACTTACAGTTATGTACCAAGAATTTCAGTAATTTATATTTTTAAAGAGTTTTTTTTCTTTTCTTGCAAAAAACAGATAACATTTTTTAATACATTTTCAAGATCGTATTGTTGTTTACTTCATGTTACATCTGTAAAAATAAAGTTAAGAGATTTTAACTTTAAATAACATTTAAAATTGTCTCATGCTGATACTGGATGCCACACTTATGTTAATATAATCTATCTATCTATCTATCTATCTATCTATCTATCTATCTATCTATCTATCTATCTATCTATCTATCTATCTATCTATCTATCTATCTATCTATCTATCTATCTATCTATCTATCTATCTATCTATCTATCTATCTATCTATCTATCTATCTATCTATCTATCTATCTATCCGTCCGTCCGTCCGTCCGTCCGTCCGTCTGTCTGTCTGTCTGTCCGTCCGTCTGTCTGTCTATCATCTATCCTTTTTTTCTACCACTTATCTAAGATCAGATCTGAGGTAACAGGTCTAGAAGGGAAACCCAGACATTCCTCTGCCCAACAACACTCTCCAGCTCCTTCTCTAATAGCACTCCCAAGTCAGAGACGGTATAAAACTCCTGCATCAAGTTCTGGGTCTGCCACAGGGTCTCTTCCTCGTGGAAAGTATCAGGAAAACCTTCTAAGGAAGGCAACCAGGAGGTGTTCTTTAGCTGCCAAAACAATCTCAGGTGATTTATTTTGGTGCTAGCAGTTGATCAATTACTTCATGTCAAGTTTTCAGCCTTGAGAATCATCTTGTCGTCGTCACGTCTTCCTCCGCTTATCTGGGTCCGGGTCGCGGGGGCAGCATCCCAACTAGGGAGCTCCAGACCGTCCTCTCCCTGGCCACCTCCACCAGTTCCTCCGGCAGGACCGCAAGTCGTTCCCGGATCAGATTCGAGATGTAACCTCTCTAACGTGTCCTGGGTCGACCCTGGGGCCTCCTGCCAGCAGGACATGCCCGAAACACCTCCCCAGGGAGGCGTCCAGGAGGCACCATCCTGACCAGATGCCCAAACCACGTCAACTGACTCCTTTCGATCCTGAGGAGCAGCGGTTCTACTCCTAGTCCCTCCCGAATGTCCGAGCTCCTCACCTTATCTCTAAGGCTGAGCCCGGCCACCCTACGGAGGAAACTCATTTTGGCCGCTTGTATCCGCAATCTCGTTCTTTCGGTCACTACCCAAAGCTCGTGACCATAGGTGAGGATTGGGACGTAAATCGACCGGTAAATCAAGAGCCTGGCTTTCCGGCTCAGCTCCCTCTTCACCACGGCAGATCAGCTCAGTGTCCACATCACTGCAGACGCCGAACCAATCCACCTGTCGATCTCCCGATCCCTCCTACCCTCACTCGTGAACAAGACCCTGAGATACTTAAACTCCTCCACTTAAGGTAGGACCTCTCTCCCGACCCGGAGTTGGCAAGCCACCCTTTTCCGGTCGAGAACCATGGTCTCAGATATGGAGGTGCTGATCCTCATCCCAGCCACTTCACACTCGGCCGCGAACCTACCCAGCAAGAGCTGAAGGTCAGAGCTGGATGAAGCTAGGAGGACCACAACATCCGCAAAAAGCAGAGACGAGATTCTCCTGCCACCAAACTCGACACACTCCACACCACGGCTGTGCCTAGAAATTCTGTTCATAAAGGTAATGAACAGAACCAGTGACAAAGGGCTACCCTGGCAGAGCCCAACCCTCACCGGGAACAGGTCCGACTTACTACCGGCTATGCGGACCAAACTCACGCTCCTCTGGTAAAGGGACTGAATGGCCCTTAACAGAAAGCCACCCACCCCATACTCCTGGAGCGTCCCCCACAGGGTGCCCCTGGGGACACGGTCATAAGCCTTCTCCAAATCCACAAAACACATGTGGATTGGTTGGGCAAACTCCCATGCCCCCTCCATTACCCTTGCAAGGGAATAGAGCTGGTCCACAGTTTCACGGCCAGGACGAAAACCACATTGCTCCTCCTCTATCTGAGATTCAACTATCGATCGGACCCTCCTCTCCAGTACCTTGGAGTAGACCTTTCCAGGGAGGCTGAGTGTGATCCCCCTATAGTTGGAACACACCCTCAGGTCACCCTTCTTAAAGATGGGGACCACCACCCTGGTCTGCCACTCCACAGGAACGGCCCCCGATGACCACGCAATGTTGCAGAGACGTGTCAACTTGCTTTTCTTAAAATACTATTTTATTAAACTTAGATTCAGAGAAAGAAACGGGAACATAAATCTAACTCTAAAGTCATGCATAAACAGAGCACTGGTTAATCTTGTGAGTAATGGTAAATAATAAAATAATAAAGATTTATATGAATCAGACCCGGGCTGAAATAAGTAATAAAGCAGCCAATGTCTAAAAATCCTCCAGAAAGCCTGAATTAATGTTCAAAACCACCATCTATTATAGTTAAAATAACGTCTGGCTCTTTGTAAGCACAAACAAACTGTTTTGCATATTACTTTACCTCTATTTGTTTTTCCACGCTCTTTTACCACATGCAAATCTCTTGATATCCAACAGTATACCACTTATTAGAATATTGTTCCTCTGATTGCCTCAGCCACATTCATGCAGTATGTTCATTTCTAGAGCCTATAGAGCCTCGTCTGAGAAGCTGAGATAGGCTTAGAGTTGTTGTTCTTATCAGTAGCAAAATAAAACGCACAAAAGAAATGCACCTGGTGCTCACATTAGCATCCTCTCATCTTTATTCATCTTGTTTGTGAGATGATTGACTCCTTTTGCAGCATCCCACAAGTGTCATAGACTACGACCAAGTGACCTTTTTGTTTTCCTTCTCCCTTTATTACACTTTCACCTGTGGTGTTGGAGTTTTGCCTCCAGAGGGGGTTGAGTCATTCAGAATTTTTAATGTATTCATGTTTAAAAGACTCACAGTTAGAACTAATTAGTTTTAAAGGTAAATTACAGGTGAAGCAGACTGAAAATGTAATTTGATCTTTAGGTATCTGTTTCATCTTTGCCTTTGAAAAGGTTCATTCTCAGAAAACACTTTGGAGAAAGTACACCCGTCCTAAAACCCAATTAAGTTTGCTGCTATTGCTTTAAATAAAATTGTGGAAGAAAGGCTGGAGGGAAATTCTTCTGTCTTGTAACTACCCTTGTCTCCTCCGTCGCGGGACATCATGTGGGTCACAGTTGCTTATCCGAGAGGACACTGGCCCATTTTTAGACGGTCTTGCTGGAGTCACACGGCTCACATCAAGACTTGAGGACAGCAACGCTTCTCATCAGCAACCGACCACGAGATCCCAAAGAGAAGAAGAAACATAAGGGGGATTTCTATCATGGAAAGTGAGTTATGGAAAAACATAGATAATCTTCTTATTTGGATTGTTTGTAGAAATGCCCAAAGGTCTTTTTTAAACATGTGTTTGACTTAACCAGCTAGAAATTAGTGTTTTGGGACATTATCTATATTGGTTATTGTAATATTAGTTTAGTTGAAACATAAAAATTGTGAATCACTAAATATCTTGATATAAAATTAAGCCCTTTTTGCTTTTTTTGCCCAACCCCTTAGACATCTTTTCTCTTCCTCTCTGCTCAGCTGTAGTCCTCAGTGACTCTTTTGTTTGCCAAAGCATCCTCACATTGCTACATGCCCGACTGGAGACAGTACCCACTAGCACCTACTTTCTACCAAAACAGAGAGGGCTTACTTCCTGAGCGCTGAGAGCAACTGGAGTCAAGTGAACGAGAAAAAAGATGGTTTGTCAGTAGCTGGTAAGTATCAGCAACCTAATACAATAAAAATGACTATTTTATGATCTAGACCAGCTCTGAAGTACTCTACAAATCCACAGTAACATGTCTAATTAATCAAGCGGTGTACCTAAACTTCAGATCTGAGACCTGAGATCCAGAGAAATGGCTCTCCGCAGGCCAGCTAACTTCCAAAGGAGAGCTCCAGGCTGGAGAAGATCAGGAGATGAATCCTACTGGGACAGCTTGATATCAGAAGAGGAGCCACTGCCTCGAGTCCCACAACCCTCACGTCGTCCCCAGAGTGCCATCGAGGGAGGAGGACAGCTGGACACCTGGCTAGAACACCTGAGGATGATGGAGAGCAAAGTCAGACCCGACATTAGCAATGCATCTTACGCTGATCGGACAACATCCATGCCCGTTCTTGACAGTAAACAGAGGAGCTATCTGCCCTTCAGCACAAGCTCATCTTCATGTGGGAGTCCGAGTCTTTGTGAGAGCTCACCAGGCAGCCAGGACTCCCTCAAGGCTGGGCTTCTGCTCCTTCAAAGGCGCAGAGGAAGCTGGGAGAAAGCTCACATCACACAGTCTCCAAAGAAGGAGCAAGCTCAGCTTAGTTATCTTGCTCCGGTCAAGATTGGGTGGCTGCCAGTGCAGAGAAGAGTGATGATGGTGGCGAGTGATGGCAGCCAAAATCAAGGTTCAAACAGCTCTGCAGGCCAAGTAAGCAACACAAAATCCACTACTTACGAAGCATTTAGGAGGTTGTACTTTTCTTTTCCTACAACATAGTAAACAGATTTTGAGGAAGTAAACTTAGTTTTCAACGCTGAAAGATGAATTCTCTGAAAATGTTTTTCGTCATATTAACCCTGTAATGCCAAATGTGTCAACTCTATATCTGGAGTTGATAAAAGATGCCACATCAAATCCTCAACGTAACTTCTGCCCTCTAGTGGAAGATCTAAGCATTGCCGGTAGTAAGTGCCAATTTTATTTGCTTTTATTTTTATATGGTGATATAAAAATCAACACTGACATTGTCAAAGACTATGTAGAGCAATTTTTGAGTCTTTCAATGTTTCATAAGTTCAGATCTTTGCAGAATTTGAGTTGAGGTCAGATGTGTAACCGACGTTTTTTCAGGTTTTGAATCTTGCATCTTTGTGAGTCAGAGTCATCGCTACAGCTCCAAAGTCAAGTCAAGCAGCAAGAGAATGATGCTAAAGTAGAGTAAAGCATGCAGGGTGTCAGACAGAGCCACTTGTAGTCAAGTCTCAGTTATCCCGGGAGAAAGCAGAGTTCCAGCAGCCTTTGAAAACAGCCTCTGCAGGAGCTTTGTGCATTCTTGAAGGCTTTATGACTAATTTGAAACTATAAAAGCAGAGATTGAGATTTGTGCCCTGACAGGATGCAAGACAATGTACACAGATGATTCAGTGGAATAACAGCATTGCAAAGTTTGCTGGTAACATGGCTATGTCGATATGATGCTGTTCGGCAGATGTAACTGAACTAAATCACAGTGGATGTGCGAATAAAAAGTGTTACAGAAGTTTTCTGTTTTTGCTTCTTTGACTTTTTACTCCAGTTGTAATGGGACACACACGTTCCAAAAATTGGAGCTTTTTCTCTTCAGAATGTTTTCCCAAAAGTCATCAGAATCATCAAGATGTTTTCTGATAAATCCGAGTTGGGCCTTTGTTTTGTAACATACGTGTCTAAATCTGTGGTTTTGACTAATACCAAATGTCAAATTACATATTTAATGACGTTCAAGACCAAGTAATAGACCAAGTAACAGAAGCTCATCTCAGATGATCTGCTCTTTTTTAATCCCACAGGTTAAACTAAAAAAGCCCCTCACTCCAACCCTTCAGAGGACTGGAGAAACTCCCATAGCTCAAGGTATGTCGGCCATCGATTACCACGTGTGTTTGATGGTTTCCACCTGCTTCAGAAGCTTTTAAACATGCGTACACAAGTGTGATCGTCACATCCATTTGTTCTCAATCAGAAATACACACTTCAGTTTCAGCTGATGTTTCAGACTTGTTCAGCTTGAGACCACCAACCAGCTGATGGGGGATTAGAATTTATTTCAGTTTACTTTCTTCTAATCTGCTCCTTCCAGTGGTGGCATCCCTGTCTTGTCTCACACTGATTGGTTAATCACATTACAGATTACAAGGACAGGAAACCTAATCCAAGCACACTGGTTCCAGTGGCTGTGCCATGGGTTTTTAGCAGCACTGTGCAAGGAGAAAGTGGGTTCTAGTTGGTTTGAAAAGCTGACAAAAAATAAAAAATAAATAAGACATGGATGGCGGCAAGGAGTAGAGAGATAAGCAGAGATGCAGACTGATTGAAGAAGGAGCTTGTTAATCTTTGAACACGGCAGCTCAGCGATACTTGGATCTGAAACTTGATCCTTCAACCTTGTCCTTGTTTGTGCATGGATTATCTTGGCAGGACTCCGGTTGCTCACTGAAATCAAAGCAAGTCATCTGGCACACAGGATGAATGGTGGAGTGGTTTTAATGTTACTCAGACTTGATTAATATGACACACTTTGCTGATTTAAAAACTACATCAAAGGCTACTAATGCAAATGTGTCAGAATAAAAGCACCTTGTGTAATAATAAAGTACAGATTAGTAAACAGGTCAGGATTTGATGATAGGGCTGCTGGATTATACAAAAGCATTCCCAGGATTATATTCAGTCAAGGTTTGATTTAGATATTAGGCATGAATGTTCAGTTGGTGTTTTTAGTTCAAACTAAAGGTCCTTTATGTAGAATTTTGTCTTTGGTTGCACTTTGACTTTGTTGCATTTAAATTGTTTTAGATATTTAAATGTGAATGTTTTTATCTTTATTCTGATTGATGGTTTTTATACACTTTTCTTTATTCCTATTATTAAATTATTTTTCAAGTTTAGAATTTTATAATTTTTTCCATTTGACTGAAAGTCATTTAAAATAATGTTTTCTTATTATTATTACTATTGTTATTATTTATAATAATAATAACAATTATAATAATAATTATTGTTGCTGTTATTAATATTACAGTTTAAAAATTTAGGTAAACACACAATCAATTAGCCTGTGTGTTTTGCTCTTCTGTTTCATTTATTTATTTATTTATTTATTTATTTATTTAGTGCTGTTTAGTCTACAGAAGAGAAGGAAGGCTTGTCATTCAGAAGACATGAACCAAAGTGGAATGTGACAAAATCATTTCAATAATGGTATTTCTTAAATGGAACATTTCTGATGATCAGGAGCTGAAATTGATTATTGCACATGCAATTATTTTATCTGCATCTTAAAAAAAGTCTATTACCCTTTTCTACAATAAATGAAAATCAGCCTGGAGTTGTGTCATTAAGAATTTATTCAGTTCTTAGCAGTTTGAAAATGCCTTGAATCACATTTCATTTCTGCTGCTTGCCGAAATAGCCCCCCCAGGAGAAGCTATATTTACACTCAAGCTCTCGCTGAACACAGTTAGTTCTCTGCATCGTCACAAAAGCCACATTCAGCAAACATGAAATTGCCTGATGTTAATGAGAATATGGTGAGAAAATTGGATTGTGCACATCAAGCTTCTTCATGTTTTGAGAGGGTGGCTAATTTTCTCCCTACTCACGTGTAAAACTTAGACAAAATCTACTCGAGTGAAAACATAGGTGGCTGGGGACAGAATAAGTTGGTTAATTGAGGAAAAACAAAAAAAATACGTATATTTCTCAGCTAGGTTAACCAGTGAGAGTTAGGGATGTTTGATATTATTGGTCGAACATTAATATCAATATTAAACATTTATATCAGAAAATGTTGGTATCGGTTTTCAGTCTTTTAATGACCCAAATTTGACATGCCATACTCATATTAACACTTCCTCTATTACTCTTTCTCAAAATGTCAAAATATGACAGATCTGAGGTTTATTTTTGAGATTTTTTTTGTTTATTTGGCACAGCTTGTGAAGTAGAAATCTGTCCTGCGTAGTAAACATACGCTGTCCTCACAGCACGTCGCTACGTGTAGCTAACGACCATAACAAAAACAAGAATCTTCACCCAAGGCTTGTTTTTCTAATCTGAAGATCTTAATAAATGTTTTAACACCATAACTGCAATAAACAGGAAAAAATACAATACTAACTCATGAACACATCTTAGCTAAGGGAGAATGGCATTCAGCTGCTGATGGAGACAAAACTTATGTGGCAATGCTACAAATCTAAACATGCATGGTAGCAGATGTGAAATGTTAATAACCTAAAAATTATATATTTGTGTGTGTGTGTGTGTGTGTGTGTGTGTGTGTGTGTGTGTGTGTGTGTGTGTGTGTGTGTGTGTGTTTATTCATCCATCTCTTATTTCCTTCCTTAAAATGTGAGCAAGGGTCATCCTAAAGTGAGAGCCTGTCACCATGGTAATGGCAGCAGGTAGAAACACAGCCAGGCAAGCTAACAGAGTGGCAATAGAGAATCAGTCAGGGCTGAAGAGTACACCAATCAGGTCTCCTACGTCTCCTGAAGGAGCCCACGAGTGACTCTAGGGTGGTGCTTGACTTTGAGCCAATTTCATTTATTGACAGTGTCAACATTTCCATTTGTGTGAAGTGTGTGTGTGTGTGTGTGTGTGTGTGTGTGTGTGTGTGTGTGTGTGTGTGTGTGTGTGTGTGTGTGTGTGTGTGTGTGTGTGTGTGTGTGTGTGTGTTAAATGGTAAGTAATGTTTAGTGACTAACCATGTTTTGCACTGACACACAGATGCAGAAACAGGGAGAAGTCACAACAGAGTGAGTGCTTTGTGCGTGAAGACATGGAGGACACCTGATCGAGACTCTCCTGATGTCAGAGAGGTAACTTATTACTTACTTTAAACATTTTAAATAAGGAGAAACCTAGAATAACAAATATGAATATTTATATCTAAGATGTGTTAGTTTGAATAATCACAACGCTCACGACGCACTTTCCATTTTTCTTTGATGATGTGGTAAAATCACATCTTTATTTGAAATGTTCCAAACAGTTTAATTTTCTGTTATCTTTTAAATGTCCACACCAAAAAAAGCAATAAGTTTATCTCTTTACTGTTCTAGTATATTGTTGCAATAAAACCATCTTTTCATGTGTGTGAGTTATATTTTTAGAATAACAGGAAAGTAATAATGATGCAAAAGTAATATTTAATATCCACATTCATTTGAATTTTTTGTTCTGTTCAGTGCGTGTCAGTACAACGTAGGGACTAAAATGTTCTCTACTAAGTGACTGACCTACACAGGTTAGGCAGATTAGATTCCAGCTTGCTGTGGGACTCATTTTCTGTGATTTCCATTGGTTATATGTTTTATTAACTCATCTAAACACAATTTATGTTAGAAGCTAAGAAAGAAATTGTTATTTGTGACAGGAAAGGAGGAAACAACACTGAACACTGTGATTCTTTGGTTCACGTAGCAAATAACATGCTATTAATTTATATCTAAAAAAGCAAATGTGGTGGACAGTGACTGAGATTGTGAATTCTAGAAGAGTTCATGATGTGAATGCATCTAGAGCAAAGTGATTCATCTTGTTTATTGTTGAGATCAATGATTCAATTGTCAACAAATGCAAAGCCTAGAACAAGTTTAATGTAAATAAAGTACGTGTGCTCTAAATTCTGATTTATAATGCCTTCTGTGATGACCTTCTTTTATCCAAGGATGTCTTCCTGTTGTCCAGAAATGTACCAAAGGTCTGTACAAAGATCTGAAAACAAGCCATTAAATATGCAGCAACTCGTGACTGGGACTGCTGGGAGAGTCACCTGATAACTAAGGACACGGTCTCTTTGAACCTCGTCACAGGGCTTCTTTACTGTAGAAGTCTTGATTTACTGACTTAGATCAAAATTGCTGATTGTGTGTGTGTGTGTGTGTGTGTGTGTGTGTGTGTGTGTGTGTGTGTGTGTGTGTGTGTGTGTGTGTGTGTGTGTGTGTGGTTTCAATTTCTTTTGCAACTAAATCTGTACTGCTCTGCTCATGCCAGTCTGGGAAAAAATTCTTCATATTCTCCTTTTCTGATTAGACAAAGGTTCAGTGAATGAATAAGAAACACTTTATGTATCAAATTGCTTCAAAATGAGAAAAAACCTCCCCCTTTTGGAAATTACAGTTGGTTATTTCAGTGTTTTGAATTGAGTTTGACTTTACTATGTCCTGCACACACACACACACACACACACACACACACACACACACACACACACACACACACACACACACACACACACACACACACACACACACACACACACACACACACACACACACACACACACACACACACACACACACACACACACAGAGGTGAAAGTTTGTGCCTCCATCATTGAAGGCAGCATTAGCTCAACAGATATAGCGGCTTGTCCAGTAATCGCAAGGTTGCTGGTTCGATCCTGGCTCTGGACAGGGAACTCCACTGATGTGTCCTTGGGCAAGACTTAAACACTAAACCCACCTGGCCTGCTGGTGGTGGCTGGTGGGACCGGCAGCCTCGCATTTGTCAGTGCGCCCCAGGGCAGCTGTGGCTATAATGTAGCTCATCACCATCAGTGTGTGTGTGTGTGTGTGTGTGTGTGTGTGTGTGTGTGTGTGTGTGTGTGTGTGTGTGAATGGATGAATGATACACTGTAGTCTAAAGCGCTTTGGAGTTCTCAGACTCTGAAAGGTGCTATTCAAGTGCAGGTCATTTATCATTTATCCATGAGGTGAGCCATGTCTGGGAACATCTAATCTGTGGACAGGGTGTAATGCAGCATTTCTTGCCACTCAGTGTGGTACAAAATCTTCTACAGGGACAAAACTGTTGTGTTAGAGGGAGAAAGTCAACGCTGAGCTGAAATGTGGGCCAGAAAGATGGTTTACAGTCCATAACTTCTCTTCAGATCCTGGCCTTTAATATGTTCTTCTTAAACGTCACCTCGTCTCATCCAGCGCCTCCTGACTGAAGGCATCATGAGTATTTCCATAGCACTTCCAACTTCAGTTCATCAGAGGCTCTGGAAAGCTTTAGGCAAAGACCGCTATTTAACAGCTTCTGGTGCTCCACTTCCTAAAGTTGACTAAAAGTCTCCCTGGTGGAGATTCCAACTGATGGCAGCAGGAACTTGAGCTGAAGCTGAAACAATCAACACATTGTCATTGTCTAATGATAATAAAACTGTATTCTAATTAAATGATTTAAAAAACTGTCCTTGGCGGGGTTCATGTAATGATGGTATTGATTGGGGATTGAATCTTACCTTGGTGACATTTAGGCCGGGTACACCACCTCTGGTTCAGGAAGCAGAATCTTTGCCTTTCAGTTTGCATTAAGGAAGGAGTCTCATTGTTATTCTGTGAGGGATAAGTCACACTGTGTGCTGGCTTTTCCTGCTGCTGCTTCCATTGCTACCGGGCAGTCACTGTGTCAAGCCTGGGGAGAGTCACCTGATGGGAAAGCAAACGGTTGAGCCCTGCAGAAAGAACATGCAGCTAACCTGTGACTGAGCACGTGTCATACAGTCAATCCCCAATGTCACAATGCTTTAAGAAACACTTCAAGATTTGTCTTTGGTATTACAGAACAACGTGCCAAACTGAACATGCAGCATTTGCCTAATTGCTCAGATTGATGAGCAAACATTTAGCGTGAGACGTTAACAGGAACAAGAGGAGATAATGAGATTTCCATTCATAATTAAAGGTTCCAATCACGCTGAATCTTTTTTTTAATGCTTTAGGTGCCAGATAAACCGAGCTTTCATGCTGAGCAAGGGGGCAGACGTGTCGGCTGGCAATCGCTCAGGACGAGCTGGAAGGCCAGCAGGGTGGCAGCTTTCCCTGGAGGCTGTAAATCCAGTGAGCTTTCCACAGGGACCATCGTGGACTCTGGCAAGAAGTGTCCTCTGACAAAAACAACAAGCCCAGAGCCCCTGAAGCATTATCACACAACTTCTGCTGATCCCAGTGGTCAGCTACAGATGTCGCCCAAGTCACAAAGCCCTGTGCAAAGAGCAAGCAGTGTTCAGCCCATCAAAGCAACAGCCTTTTATGGGATAAGTGCTAGCTCAGGTGCTCCACACACACTGGATAATCCATCTGTGACCACGCGTGTACCTCAAAGCAAAACACCCTTCTCCTCTATCACCATCTCCTCCAAAAAAGTGAGCAGATCAGCCAGTTTTTCTGGCTCTAACTCATCCAGCACGCCTTCTACTCCTGGCTTGGATCACCAGCCCATGGATCCAAACTCCAGACAGATGAGAGTGCAAAGAAAGGCTACTATCATCAAAGTGACAGACAAAAAAGTGACATCCACCCTCAGTCCAAGCACAAGTCGGCCCGGGACCCCACCAGCTTGCTGTGGTTTAGACATGGTGGTTGGTAGAAGAAAAGCCACCATCATTAAAGTGACAGAACATAAGGAAAGCTACAGTCCAGCCAAGACCCCAATCAGGAATCCAGAGTTCAGGCACAGCTACACCGAGGGGCTGCATAAGAGTCAGGAAAATGGTTCAGACAACGCAGCACCACGGTACCACTGTCTGGATCCTGGGCCAAACTCATCCACCACCTCAAACACTTCTCCATCCAGTCCAAAGAAACATAGTACCCTGCACAGATCCAGTTTTAACTTTTTTGTGAGCAGTTGTCCTGCCACAACACCAGCTCCCTCTGAGGTTTCATCAAAGGCGGTTGGACAGAGATCGGACAGGCCGAAAAGACCACTAAGCTGCTACGGTGATTTGACTGGACACACTGAGCCGAGCGAAGAGATCGGCGAACAATCAGCTGCCAGCAAATGGAGCTTCGGGCCCCCACAAGGGAACCGCATCAACCCTGTGAGCTTGGACAGAGGTTTCATCAGCCCTGGAAAAGAAGTGAAAGAAGCAGGTCAGCCAGTAGAACACGCCCTCAGCCCTCCAACAGAGGAAGAGGAGGGAATGCCTCCAGCGGTGGAGGGAAAGAGGAGAGCATCCCCCAGTCTGACGCTCATCACGGCCCCCGGTAAGTTCCTCTGCCCCACTTTGACAGTCTTCTTGTCAACAAAGAGGTGCCATCTGTCTCTGATCTCTGTTTTCAAAGAATTAGAACATCTAAATATACTTTACTTTGTGCCTTTGAGCTGGAAGTTTTTTCCTTCTTTATGGTCTTTCAGCTTTGAAGCTCGATTAGACTTGATTAGACTGCTGCAGATGACCTTCACACCTTTACCAGGTATGAGCAACATTAGGTGACATGTGCAGCAGGTCTCATCATCAGCTAGACAGCCGTGCTTGATTTCACCTCCTTTAATTTGTACAGTTGTGTTTTAGCAGGCATAATAAAAATAAAGGATCCGTGTGAGTTATGCATTTTAGGATGCGTTAAATAAAATTAGCTTCTTTTGTTTTGCAATCTTAGCTGAGTTTTTAGTCATTAAGGGTCCATCTTCCATTCTTTTATTGTTAAATCTCCTTTGGACTTTCGTGCTTGTAGTCCTGGCCTTTGGCTGACAGCAGCAGAGTGAAGATGCTCTGAACTGAGAGGGAGGTATTATCTCTCCTCCGGCGTCGGCACGCGCCTCGCTGCAGCCATATCACTGATGCAGCGCCAGCCCTTTCTGTCAAAACAGCCCTTCAGAGCTGCTCCAGCTTTATGTGCCCACACTTAATATTTTTTTATTGATGACTTGATCCTATCTGTAAGCTGTCCAGTAGTCAGCTGGCTGCTGAAGCAGAGGCTCTTTAGGGACGGAAATGAGAAGATGTGAGAGGTTTGTGCAGTAGCTGCCAGGAAGGTCGAAGGTTGTCCTTCCTCCTGGATGAGCTGCTGTGAGTTTAGGTGCAACAGATCGGAGGTCTGTTTGACTGAGATAAAAAGGAAATGAAGGTGGTTCTTGTGGGGCGTTTTATTTTGTTTCATGTCTGTGTTTGCTTACAAAAATGTCATTTCAAAATAAAAGGCCAGTATGTAACTTATTTAACTTGAAAGTATAAAATTTTGGATATTTGCATGAATGACTGGAGCTTCTGCCTCACGTTTATGTGGTATTTGAACCAGGGGCCATTTCCAAAAAGTCCCCTAAGGGGCCACTGATATAACCACAAGTTATGACAGAAATTCAGTGTGAATTTCTCATTATTTGTGACACATTCACCCTCAAAATAGTTTTACAGTTGATGTTGGTGTCTGAAATTCTTCCTTATTTAGTTTGGCGTAAACATAGGATGCCCTAATTTATTCATTCATTCATACATTAACCTGTTTCTATTTCAAAAGATAAGCCCCTTCAGGTATGCCATCTTGTTTGGGAGGGGACCTATATTAAGAGTTAAAAAATGACAAAACATCCAAAAACAGCAAGAACTGCGTACTAACACGCACGCACGCACGCACGCAGGCACGCACGCACGCACGCACGCACACACACACACACACACACACACACACACACACGCACATCACTCTGCACTCAAAGAAATAGCAATCATTATATTTTAACTTGGAATAAGTGAACGGATAGACAATTAATACAATTTGAGCTCCAGGTTTACTTTAAAACAGGAGACAATATATATATACATATTTTTTTTTATTAATTCCTTATTTAACCAGGATGCTCCCATTGAGATTAAAACCTAATTTTCAAGGAAATATTTGAAAGATGCACATAAACTGAATGAATTAATAATCTAAAATAAATTATTGTGCAAAAATTAACAAGAAGCTTGTTCCAATGTAGCACTCAAATTCCCCATTTCCTTTTTAAAACGAGGAACAACAAATTAAATCTGCATTGTGTTCTTCAACCAACCATGTGCATAATTTGCATGGTTTTCTGTGATTCATCATGATTTTCTCAAATAACTAAGTTTAATCTTCCTTCTTTTTGGTGACTTGAGGTTGTTTGAAATTCACATTCAAGTCTGTAACACTGAAAAAACATTGGTTCAGTCATTCTCAGTTTTGTAAATGCCATTTAAATCAACTAAACCTGCCATGTTTTAAGAATTCAAGTGAATAAGTAATACACAGAGTGAGCTTTCTGCTGAGCGAGCGTGTCCCTTCATTTATTATCTCTTTCCCTTCCGTGAAATTATTAATTATTCTTTAATCACATCCATTAGGAGTGTCGTCTATTAATTCTAAGGCCAGAGGCAGCATATTTCAAACTCAACGTTTGATACAGTCAACCACAAAATGAACTGGGATGTTAAATTGTGTCAAGATTCTTCTGTTTGTGCATTGCAGCTAAATGAAAGCTTACTGTTTCACTCACTTCTGTTAATTAAAGCCCTCCTGCATTTCAGATCCTCATCACTCTCAGGAGGAAGTCCTTGCCCTCAACGCAGCGGCCATCATAGCAAACATCAAGCTTCAGAGACAGCTCAGTAAGAAGAAAACTCCATGCAGCTATCCCGAAGATTCTGCAGCATCACTCCAGGGAAATACGGGTATTATTACACACCTCTGTTACGAGTGGAAAATATTTATTCTTGTAATTTTCTCTCAGCATAAACGATTCAGCTTTACGACAATAACACAGATTTGTTTCTGGTTCAACCAGTCATTTTCATAGCTGAAACTCTGATTGAATCCATAAAGTTGATGTGAAATCTTACAAGCTGTGGTTACATTTCATACCAAGATGTAATAATATGCCAGGCAAACTCAGAAAGCTGCTGAGCAGCTCTGCATCACACACAGGCACAAGACGAAGCCAAGCAAGGTGTAAATGAAACACAAAAACCATTTTTTTTATTTCCTGGTAGTAACGGATGGGAGGAAAAACATGAAGACCAGTTCTGAGCAACCCCAACACCAGAACCAGCCTCATGCTGAATCTGCCCCTCTGAGGCTGGAGCATGAAAGGTCATCTGAAACTATTTCTCTTCGGGTAAGCTTAAAGGTCATTTAAAAGCATAGGGCTGCATCCTTTTTGGAAATGTTAGATTTAAAGTGGACCAAGAATTTAAAGAATTTGAGTAAATCCCAGATAGATACATAACTTGCGGTCTATGTATCCTTTTTCACAAGCAGAACACCGAGTTAAAAGTTTCTTCGAGCATTATGGACTCGTCGGGATAAACCAGCCAATCAGCATGCAGCTCATGTCCTGGCTGAGGTGGGGAAACCCAATCTGTCTAGTGCAAGGCTTTATTATGGGGTTGTGTCTGTGGCCATTTGGCAGGGCTCCTGGGTCATTGTGAGCCCCGACAAAGTTTCACATGCTTCATACAGGCTCACAGAGCAGTTTCCAATTGTAAGAAAAATGTCTTTGCAGTTTTAAAGTCAATAAAAATATATGTGAGATCCTGGACAAGCCCCCATTTTTGTCAGAAGTCTTTATGAAGCCCTTTAAAATAAGGAGCTTTTTTATTTTTTATTTATTTATTTATTTTTAGGTAAAATGTAAATTTAGGGGGAAAATGTTGATAAATGTGCTTCTTCAGTGTGAGCCAAGCAAACAAACACTCAGCAAGTTCAGAGGTTATCTTTGTAATACTCTCTGGCTTCATGTGTGGCGAGAAAGCAGAGACCTGATCTTTAGGCCACCAAAACGGATCCCCTCAACACCTTGGCTGCATGACTCTGGTAGTTTGTCCTAAAGTTGAAGTGGTAGCAGCCAGCTGTTTCTCCTTCTTTGATATTATTGAGTGTAGAACCTCTCACACCAGTGGTGTTCTGTTGCGAAATATGCAAGGATGTAAGAAATGGTGGGCCCAAAGGGCTGCAGAAGTGTGTCAATTTGACGAGACCGACAACTGGATGGTCCAATGCTTGCTTTTGGTCCAAGCCATGCTATTGGTGGAGATTTCTAGATGGATGTGAGAGAACCACTTTATTCATTTTTCGCTATTTTTTAATCTCCACAATATATTTAAAGCTATACTATGTTAGGAGTTTGTTGAGACATGAAAATAAATGTTTTAAGCTAATTTGTTTTCCAAATTTGTTATATCAGCTTTAAAAAAAGAGCCTTGGCTAAACTGTTTTATCAAATACAACAGAGTGTTTCTTGTTTTTGCAGCAAGCACTGCAGAGATCCAGACCAGATTTCATCAGTCGGTCTCAGAGCAGGGTGCAAGAGCTGGAACGAAAGGCTCAGGAAAGGAGGCATCGGTCGAGTTTGGAAGGCCGACAGCTACAACAGAAGAGGGCCTGCAGCACGAATCCTACCTCTGTAAACGGTAATCCGCCAGCAGCCAGCATCACCTCTCTGTGAGGCTCTCTGCTGCCCATTGTCCCTGTGCAGCTGCAGTGGCCATTTGCCACATCACTAATCACAAATATGCAGATTCAGAACAAAGAGCTAAGAGGGTGGATGTACTCAGAGTTTTGTCCTAAATAATTATAGTGGGTGATAGGTAGCATCATATTTCTACTTATTTTTGTTGTTTTAAACCTATCGAACCTACAAAAATCCTCAGATTAGAACCACAACTCTGACTCCAAAGCTAATCTGGAATTAGTGATGGACTGTTCAGACAAAAGTGCCTATATAAAACTTGAAATATCAGATTTTTTTTTGTTCATCATCCCATGCTTCATGTAAAGAATTGTCCTCTATAATTTTAGAAAAAAAGCTTTTAATAAAACTGCTGTTGATTTTCACTGTAAACAATGAAGATTTTTATGGCCCTCTCTGCCCTCTTCTGGCCACAATCGGAAGAATCACCAGTGATTCAGTGACATCACAAATAAAACCGTGATTTCCATCTTTAAGCACTTTAGACAACTCAGAGTTTGTTTACAAGAACATGCCTCGGCAACATAAAAGACACAGATTTAATGTCCTGATTATAAACAACCTCTGTCTGGTTATTGCAACACTCCTCAGCTGTCAGGCAGCTCTGACATCAGGAAAACCTCTAGTGATTGACAGTCATCCTTTGTGTGTGTGTGTGTGTGTGTGTGTGTGTGTGTGTGTGTGTGTGTGTGTGTGTGTGTGTGTGTGTGGTTCCAGGTAACCTTGTCAGACAAAGAGACAGAGGGATTTCCTGGAAGGAAACAACGCCCAGGTCCAGGAAGTGAGCTTCATCCGTCGGCAGACTAATCTTTTTTTCATCACCTCGACGTGAAAGGGCGGAGCCTGTCTTTGGCATCTCATTGCCAAGTATGCTGCTCCTGTCTATCTGTCAAGACCTCTGCTCCAATTAAATAATTTTGTTCTTCCTTGCCTTCATGACTCATTATTTTGTTATCCTGCTTGATCCAGTTATTGATAAGAAGTGACGATTCAGAGAGAGGACTTTAACAACAGAATCCACCAGTTTTATGAAATGTATCACATTTTAAGAATTGCAAATAATTTATTGTATCCATCCATCTATCCATTTTGAATGAGTGAGTTGGTTCAGCAGGAAAACTCTCCAGCTTTTCCCGGGGGATTTAAAAGCTTTCCAAAACCAGAGAAAAAATATCTCTCTAGCAGGTTCTGGGACTGCCTCTGGGTCTTCTTCCAGTGGGATGTGTCCATAAAATAAAAAGAAAGCAACTATGCCACTTACACACTTTAGTCAGGTGTCCTACCTCAGCACACTCCTTCTGATGAGCAGAAGAAAGAGCTCTTCTCAGAGGCTCCCCTGGATCAGACTGGCCTCCCAACTGCTCATTTCAGCTGCATGTGTCTGGATCTTGTTCTTCTGATCACATGTCCTAGTTGAGGGCTTGAGCGTACACGGGTCAGTGAATCCCTTACCAGATCAAACCCCTCATTATTGAAGATGATGCCCTGATCTGGTTGTCCATCACTTACTCCATCCTACTTCCACTCACAGACTAAACCCAGGACTATTTACTTCCTCTGTTTGAGGCAGAGAAACACCACTCACCCAGAGGAAGCTTGCAACCTTTTTCTAGTCCAGAGCCACAGCCTCAGACTTAGTTGTACATGTGCACACATAGGCTGCATGGCTAGCTGGTAGCACTGATGGCTCACATTAAGGAAGAAGCAGGTTCAAATCCTGGCTGTGGCCTTTCTGCATGGATTTGTCTGGTTCTCCTCGACCATAAGTGGGTTTTTTTCTGGGTACACCAGTTTCCTCCCACACGCCCTAATTTGTGTTTTGACCGAGTAATATTTCAGAACTATTATAAATGATATTAGCTCAAATTCCCTCATTCAGTTTAATTTAATATCAACCATGTGTCTGTGGTAAGGTGTAAAACACCCCAAAACTAATAATTCTAGACACGCTGTCAGAACTTTGCAGGTTATTTGCAACTGAACTGAAAGATTGACAGAAGAATATATATACATATATATATATATATATTAACAATTTCAAAAACATTAATTTATTATTATTATTATTATTATTATTATTATTATTATTTATCAATTTATTAAATATTAAAAATACTATTTTTTTGGTTTGTTTTTATTTTCTTCCCATCCATTGTAACCTCAATTGGTCTAAATGCAAAACAACAGAAAGAAGATCACTGTGTTCCTGGTCATTGGAGGGCTAAAGCCAGAATGAAATAAATGTAAATTCTTGATTGAACAAAAAAAAAAAGTAACGATTTGAAGGATTTATTTACACAGTGATGCAGACACACTGTTGCTGAACAACAAATTAAACATTCATTATTTTAAAGAAATCAAGCAAAGAAATTAAATAAACATTTTTTATATAAAATAAAGGATAAGAAATTTAGTATGCCGGTTTTATACCAAAAGGGAATTTTTCAAGCATGCATTCAATTGATGTTTAAAGCTCAAGGTAGTGTTTTGAATATAGCCAGTAACTGGCTTTTCAGTCTCACAAACACCTGTGTAACACAGACAGGACATTTGTTGGGTAAATGACCCGCAGTCCATTGAGCAAGCATCAATCTGTCGTCCTTGTAGGCTCAATTCAACCTTTCAAGCGCACCAGGCTGTAGTAATGGTGGACATTAAAATGTTTATGTGCTAATAACAGAGCCTGTTTTCTTCTTCAGAGTAATGATGCTGCAAATAGAAGCTTTAATGTCAAACAGGCAGAGCAGCTTTCTTCTAAAAGTTCATTCAGAAAGAGAGTTGTGATAAATGACCTGCGTTTGTATAGCAACTTTCAGTGTAATTTACACACACTCACACACTGATGGTGATGAGCTACACTGTAGCCACACCTGAGGCAAGGCTTTCCAGTCACAGGAGCCACTGATCCCTCTGTCCACCACCAGCAGGCAAGGTGGTCTTGCTCAAGGAAACACCAGCAGCATTCTCTGGTGGGAGCCGGGATCGACCCTGCATCCTTCCGATTGCTGGACAACTCGCTCTACCTCCTGATCTTCTGCTGCCCCAAGTTAGAAACACAAGACTTAGAAAGTCAGGTGGGACAAGTTTAATTTACTGAAAAGATTTAAAATGGTGTGATAATTTGTCAGTATTACTCTTAGTATTGTCGCTGTCTAACATAACAACTTACCCTTTCACATGTAAAACCACTTATTTTCCTGTGAGTCAGGACTGAAGACAAATCCAGTGGTGCTGTGATCACTCTGGGCAGACTTGTATCATTGTTGAGATATTGCTCTGGTTTTGTAGACTCTTGGATGGAAATTTAACACAGTATGAAGTGATATTTTCAATATTTACATGTAAGTTTGAGTGTTTTCCATGACTAGATGTGTGACTGAAAGGTAAACTAGATTTTCCTCTGAAAGCAATGGTTCTAGTCATCCACTAGAGGGCACTGTTGTCTAGGTTTTCCTTTTGATGCGCTTTTGCCACAAGTCAAATTGGGAAAGCTGCATTTTAACAGCTGCTTCAGTGGGATTGGGCTGATAAAGTTGTTTTGTGTTGCCATTCAAAAATCATTATTGTTCATCTGACTGAAGGATTGCAAAGCTCTACTCAGTCTGCGCCACTCGGCCGTTCTCTCGTTACGAAGAGAAACTGAACAGTCTCATTGTGCAGAACGTATGAGGAGGCCTGCATTCCTCTTGAAACAAAAGGCCCTTTAGTGGCTGTGCAGTGCCTCCGCTCAGCTGGTAGGTGCCACACACACACACACACACACACACACACACACACACACACACACACACACACACACACACACACACACACACACACACACACACACACACACACACACACACACACACACACACACACACACACAGCTCCTCCACCCACACGGCTGCTGGAGCTGATAAATGCTGGCTGGTGGGGCCAGGCCAGAGGATCCAGCAGGTCTGGAACGAGGAGCTGGAGATCTGAACACTTCCTGTTTTAGACTGGATGAACATGTGTGTTTGTGTGTGTGAGCATGTGTGTGTGTGTGTGTGTGTCACATTCTGTGAAAACATGTTTGCCCTCTTTCAGATTTCATGTTTTTGCTTTTGTCACTTTCAGATCTTCAAACAGATGTCAGTATCAACCAAAGCTCTGGGTGAAACTGGAATGCAGTTTTTAAGTAATAGTTAAAATGTTGAAGATGAAGAAACTGTCCAAACCCACCTGGCCCTGAGTGGAACAACAGTAAGTGGCCCCTGAATCTAACATGCTGGTGGAGGTTGTGAGTCATCCAGGTCATGGTCCTAGGTTTGAATAAAGACAACTGGGCTTAAGAAAATTTCACTTCTCATCCAGCTGAGTGAATTCTAAATATTACAACTAGTTGCAACACTCTGGAGGTTACAAAGGCAAAATTGTTTGTGATAACTAATATGGGTCTCCCACATCACTGTAGACAACTTAGTTCAACTCTTATTTACAGAATTGTTACTATTCAGTCGCACTGGAGGCTTCCCTCTCCCCAGCCACTTAGGCCAGCTCTTCCGGGGAAATCCCAAGGCATTCCCTGGACAGTTTTTTCAGGGCAGTGCCCCTCCATACCTTGGGGAACTGTTAAAAAGTCATGTACCCTCAAGGTCATTGCGCTCTGCAGATCGGTTCCTGTTGACTGTGCCTCACTCCAGGTCCAGGACATGCGGGATAGGGCGTTTTCTGTTTCTGTCTTGCCTGGAACAAGTTACCTCTTAACATTAAGCTGTCTCCATCTTTGGCTGCTTTTAAGAGTCGCTTGAAAACTCATTTTTATCGTCTGGCTTTCACCTAATCAGATTGGTGACTGGTTTTAAATGACTTGAATAGTTTTTATTTTTGTTTGCTATTATTGATTTATTTTTTCATTTTTATCCTAGTTTTATTCGTGTCTTGTTTCTATGTTTTATTTGTGCTGTGTTGAGCGCTTTGGGTCCCCCTTGAGGATGATGGAAAGCGCTATACAAATTAAAGTTGATTGATTGATTGACAGCTGGGAGACAGTCCCTTCAGCATGTCCTGAGTCTTCCTTTAGGTCTCCTCCCCATTGGATGTGCTTGAAAAACCTCACCAGGGAGGCATCCTAACTAGATGCCCGAGCCACCTCAACTGGCTCCTCTCAATGTGGAGCTGCAGATCTACTCCGAGCCCCTCCCGGATGACCGAGCTTCTCACCCTATCTCTAAGGGAGAGCCAAACACTCTGCGGAGAAAACTCCTTTCGGCCGCTTGTAGTCACGACCTTGTTCTTTCGTTCACTACCCAAAGCTCGTGACCAGCATGGAAACTCGTCTCCACAGTATAGCCTAACCACAGATACAGGCAGACCACGAGAACAACCGTCAAGGCGCTCATCTCAGGTCTAGGTGAGCCTAGGCAAACGGAACGTAGCTTTTCAAATCATTTCATCCATCAGTTTCTTCATGATGGGGGGAGAGGGGGGGGGGGGGGTGTTATCACAAAAGATGTTTTTGATTAAGCTTAACCTGAATACATTTTCATGACTATACATTACATCACTGCATTTTATATTTACTCATGCTCTTTGTTTAATCATGAAATTTGTTTGCTCTGAAAGATTTAGGCTACAGAAAAGCAAAAACAGAATTACATCTCTGTTCGTGGACTTGATCATTTCATTAAAAGTGTTTTGATGGATTAAAAAATCAGTTAGGAAGGCTGCACGGTCAGTGAATGAATGAGTGAGTGAATGAGTGAACAAGTGAGTGACTGAGTGAATTAGTGAGTGAGTGAATTAATGAGTGGATGAGTGAGTGAGACTGGTGTGGCATTAATTCATGAGGGAGTGAGTGAGTTGGTGACTTAATGAGTGAATAAGTGAGTGAGTGAATGATTGAACAAGTGAGTGACTGCGTGAATTAGTGAGTGAGTGAATTAATGAGTGGATGAGTGAGTGAGACTGGTGTGGCATTAATTCATGAGGGAGTGAGTGAGTTAGTGACTTAATGAGTGAATGAGTGAGTGAGTGAACAAGTGAGTGAATGAATGAGTGAGTGAGTTGAATGAATGAATGAATTACTAAATGAGTTAATCAATGAGTGAGTGACTTAATGAATGAGTGAGATGATGAATGAGCAAGTTAATTGGTGAGTGAGTGAGTTCATAAATGAGTGAGTGAATTAGTGAGTGAATGGATGAGTTCATGAATGAGTGAGTGAGTTAATAAATGAGTGAGTGAGTGAATTAATGAATGAGTGATATTTGTTATATCTACATGTGTCAGATATCTGTACTCTAAAACGTTTGTGCAGATCTGTGTCAAGACATTTCCTGACTTGTGTTTTCTGCTAGTCCAGCACACATTTACTTGGTTCTAATGTCTTGATTTACTATGTTAGATCCACTTCAATGGCTTGGCTGTAAAACAGGAAAAATCTAATTATGTTTGAGCCTTTTTTTAGTGCATTTGATCATTTTGTTTTTCGTTTTGATGCACTTGACCCAGTTTAACTAGATGCAGTGTAGCATTTACTGGACAGTAAAGCACTGCCATCCTCTCTCAGTCACACTCACATGATCACATGTGATAACACCATGGGACAGAATCTTCCCCAATCATTTACAATCCCATCAGGGAATGTCTTCTACCGTCTTTCTCATTAAACATTCAAAAAGCAAGAGGAGGAAGCCTGAAGTGCCAGTGATTAGCTCTTGGAGGAATGTGACCTCTTCTTGGTGCTAATGGACATCATGGCTGAATGGAGCCTTTGTCACTGTTTTTATTCTGTTTTGTGTTTGGACCTGACCAATCACGACGTGTGCGGTCTGAGAGGGTGGCTGCTGCTTGGCGACATGCTAGAGTTGCTCAAATGACCAGAAACAAGTAAATATGTATTTGCTATAACAATAGACGATGAAAGGGTCTTTTTCATTGCTGCTGAGTCATGTCTCCTATTAGCCCGAGTGTCACCTGTCACCATCCAGACGATTTAAAAAAAATATATATTAAAAGTGAACAAACACAGGACTTATATTGCTAGAAGAAAATATATCATATAGTTTAGCACCAATTTCATTTATTGAATCTATTAACAAGAGGCATTTAGGGAATGTTGTATTTTCAAACCTGAAATATTGAAGACCAATCTAGCCAGCACCTTTTTACTTTTACTTTCTGATGTTAGTCGACTGGCCTGAACTTTATACCCCGTTTCTTTTGTCTGTGATTGGAAGCTAACTGGCTCCAAATTGTATTCCCTGTTTCCTTAAATTTGTTTTTCATTGTATAACTTTTATTGTTTTTGTGAAGCACTTTGTGTTTTATTCTGTGACAAGTGCTATGAATACGTTTCTTCTTCATTGTTTCCCTTTTAAATGTTTCAAATAAAAATGATCACTGAGCAGCAATCTCTTCTAGTACGAAGTGTCCTCTAATTTTGGAAGATTTTGTCTTTGAGATTGATTGTCAAGCATTTGTCCACTTTGCTTTAATGAGAAATGTTGTCTTCTGTGTCATTTTTCGTGGGATTTATTTTCAATGAGATGCATCATTCAGCTTTTATCTATTTATGTTGTCATATGGATGATTTGCAACTCTAATATTTACGCTGGAACAGCAGTGTGAGTGATCATTTGGTGAAGTGATGAACATTAACAAGAAGAGGAAATAGAGAACATGGTCGCCTTCAAAATAAAGTTTTAGGTTTATACCAACAACACATTTTTAGACGCAGGAAGGTAGCTGGAAGTGAAAGCAGAAACAAAGAAATTCCCCCTAGTGGCTGGTTCCAGCATAACGTTTAAATCCCATTTTCTCCATATGAATAAATGAGATATTTACTTGACTATAAAATAATTTCAGGTGTGGCATTAATTCATATGGTACTTTCTGTTGAATATGCAAATTTTATTTCATTTTATTTTTTTCAATTCTTTTAGTTATAATTGTTTATATGAAGCTTAAAATCATGTTGTGTACAGGTGAGTGGGTTAACTTAGTGCCAGGTGACCTCAAGTAAAACATAACATGGTAACATCTATAATTGTGATACTCTGGCTTTAGTTTTAAGCGCTATGTGATGTCTATTAGTATTTAGGTTGATGGGTTATGTGTCTTCCTCTTTCAATTTGTAGTTTAAACTTCTATTTTTCTTAAAGACTGCTGTCTTGCTGGACACACCTGATAAATGCATATTAAAATGGTTCTTCGAAAAGATCAAATGAGCGGAAGACAGTTTTCTTTCTTTGATTAAGTTTAAATGAAGAAATGAGAAATCAGCCAAAGGACTGCACAGATTTGTATTCATTGACAAAGCTGTCCCTTTTGGAGGGAATAATTCATTCAGTCTCAATAAAAATAGCCGAGTATTAAAAACAGACTTCTTCTTCCTCTACCCACGGTTCGTAGTGGCTCATTAGTCAACGTTATTTTACTGTATTTTAGTTAGAATTCGACTTTTACTGAATAATATCTGACGTGTTGTTGGGAATATACTGTGTAATCTAAAAAAAAAGTTTAAATTTTTTTATTTTATTAGTTTTCTTTTTTTTAATTTTTATTATTTTTTTCTCTTATTTGCTTGCATTGTTTGTTATCTTAAATTATTATTCACTTACCTTGAATCTGTTAGAATTAACATTTTTATTATTATTATTATTATCATTATTATTAGTATTTTAATACCTGCCATATGTACATTATATTTTTGTGTTGGATACTGTTGATGGAAGGGGGGTAAGGGAAAAAAGGGGAAGAAAAAAACCAAATAAACATATGTTTAAAAAACAGAATTCGACTTTTACTCTGAAAATATTAACCAAATGTTACCGCCTTATCGCATTCCTCTTGACTCCGCTGAGAAGTTCCGCTGGTTTTAGGACCCCGCGGAGCCCCTCATAGAAGCACATGGTCTCCACTCATAAGACAAATGTTCTCGTCTGTATCTTTTCCTGAAATGAATGTGATTCCAGAGGACGAGCAGCGGCGGCGGCGGTTTGAGTTTTCCTCGGCGTTTTCCCTCTCACTCGCTCCAAGAACTCCACCTTTTTGAACGGAGTCGGCTGTGCGCGCAGCTGCGCGTCTCTGAATGGGGCGCAGAGTTGGATCAGCTCAGCTGTCATCGGGATATCCTGAAGCCCCGCTCAGACTCCCGATCAGATTTCAGGAAGTCACTTATTTTATTTCCCCCCTCTGAGCGGGGGAAAGGCTGTTCTCTCACATCAGATGTTGTTGGAAGATGGTTGCGCTGCAGTAGAGAGCAGCTCCGCTTCAGCATCATCATGAGCCCAGAGAGCCCGAGTCTCAAGTTTATTCTGACAGCGCTTCAGGCTTTAACGGTCTCCTTGGTGATGGGTGACAAGGTGCACTCTGCTGAAGGTAAGAGGTGAGGAGAGGGGATGCTTTGGTTTCATTCTTTCATGTCCAAACATAAAAATAAACAGTCACTGTGCAGATTGCATGCTGCATGTATATATTTGCTTTTTTCTTTATTCTGCCCCTCCTGTTTTGTTTGGCTGTTTGATTTCACCATGCTTGTTGTAAACTTCTGTTCAGATGTTTATGCAGAGTGATTCACTTCCATTGTAATAGATTCATGACTTCCCTTCCATGTATACTCCCACGGGGTTAAAGTAATATGCTGTTTTAGTTGGAGTTCCTGTGTCTAAAGGGTAAACAAACGTGTACGTTTGATAAAGTTCAATGCCTTTTCAGATAAAGTGAAAACACTTGAGACATTTTGTTGTGGCATTAGCATTCTGCTTGTTAAATCATTCAAATTGTTCAGCTGCAAACAGAGACTGTATGTGTCTTTGAGATGTTAAACGTGAGCTCTGGGGAACTATTAAGATTTGCGTGTTTGTCTTGTTTTTATGATGCCAGTTTGACATTCTGGAGCCCTCCAAAAACTTCTAAACGTCCCAACGCTCGCTGTGGAATCCTGGGAATTAATTATCATCAAGGGCAAAAGTGTTAAACTGGTAGTGAAGCAAGAGGAAGTTCATTTATTCATCAACAGCTCATTGTCATCAGACGTTCTCCTTGATGTGTCCTCCCTTGGGTTGGAGACTCGGAAAACCGTTAGCCGTTTCGTGCATGTGTGTGTCTCTGGTTATCTGTCCTAACGCCGTGCACACCTGCGTCATGGTCACTGGAGCTGATTGTGATAAATGAACTGAGGACATATTGACAGCAAAACTTTTCATCTTCCTTTTATCATTCAACAAAAATGGGGAAAAAATTGCAGCGCTACAGAAAGTTGTTAGACCCTTTCTAGTTCCTGATCAGAAATTCTTGGACATAATGAAGAAACTTTATTTGAAAGTATAATTTGGCTATTTGAGGTGTGTTTCTTTGTAGAAGTTATAAATAGTTACCATTTTAACAGCCTCGGTTTGGAGAAATCGAGTTTACATCCAACAGTGTGCCCAAGGGCAGTGTGTCCTTTAACACCTCTGATCTATGAAATAGCATGGTTCATGCAACGATATTTAACAAATGATTCCACCTCATTCAGTCTCCAATTACATGGTTATTTACGTGGGTGAAAGTCACCATCAGCTGTAAAACTTTGGCAGCCGGAGAAGTTTTAAGACATCCGTTATTCACTTTGGAGTTTGCACCAGTGTACTGCCATCTTAGAACAGATCTAATCTTCTAAATTTCACATTAAAACATTATTTCATAAACATTTCAATGCTGACATGATCATTTTCCATTGCATTCTCACAGAAATGTGAAGAATTTCCCGTTAAATTCAAACAACGTAACATGAAAATACCATGAAACTAACTGCTATGACATTCTAGATTTTAGAGCAACACACCTTCTTCTTGGATGTTTTGGACTAGCTCATCAGTCAAGCAGCAACAAGAAAATCCAACACTTTCCACAGTTTTTTTTAAAAGACCAAATTCACAGAGAAACCATTTTTACTTGTTCTTTTTAAAATATTGGTCACTCTGAGTTAAACATGCAGGCTTAACATGAAAATAGTCTTATACTCCTATTTCCTGTGTTAGACACAGGGAAATGCTCACATTGAAAAGTCTTCTAGATCTACGTCACACTGAAAATTAACATTCCTGAACTCACCCATGTTGGCTCACGACCAGGAAGACTGGGCAGCAGAGGGCGACATCATCCTCTGCTGCCTGCTGATAAACGGAGAAAGAGGAGACACCGCCAACAGCGGGAAAGCTCTGAGGAAGGCTACAGTGTTAGCTGAAACTTTAGTGAAAACAAGGTAAAAACAACTCTTGCTGTGTTAAAAAAAGAACCAAGTTATGCAGAATCAACGTACAAAAAGATGTTCAAAGAGGAAGACTGTTGGTTTCGTGTCCAATAAAAAGCAGAGGCGCTCACCTGCTGGACAGGGCGCATGATTGCAGAATTAAAAAAAAAGGTAAATACATGTATTATGAAATGCTCTATACATAATCAGAATTTACCACCGAAGGACATGAAAATATAACCTCAAGATTTAAATTCTTTGCAGTGCTCTGGCTGGATGACCTGCAGTGGTGGTTATATTTGCAGACGGTCCCTGGGCACTCGCGGCTGTTTCGTAACACGTAGGGCAGAGAGGGTGGGCGGCCAAGGAGTAATCTCACCTAGGGCACAAAATTGGGTAGAGCCCTGCCAGCAGGTCAGATCTGTTCAAGAACTTGAAATTGGTACTGGCTCTCTAAACCAAAATCAGCACATCTCTAGTTATTATAACTGTTACATAGAAAGAAGGCCCAAAAATGATCTAAATATCCTTTAGGTGATGCTGTGAGGTTGTAAGTCAATTGGAAAATCACTGAGGTCAAGATGACTCAAGGTGACAAAAGACGGATGGAACACAGATCTCAGAATGGACGTTTGGAGGCCCCCGAAATGATCTCCATCAGTTAGGTAAAGAAAATGGACCTGGAACCACAAAAGTCTTTCCAGACCGACATCCAGTCAAAGTCAGGAATCTGTATGAAAATGGGGCTTTGCCAGACAGGTAACCAATAAGCCGGTGGTTACTGTAATTAAAATTTGTGGAGATGGGAGGCCTTTACTGAACAGCCATCAGTGTCAATGGTAGAGTGGCCCACTCCAGACAGAAGACATTCCTCATTTAAAGGCACACAACAGGCATTCTGCCAAAAGGCTCCTAATGGGTCTGAGACCACAAGAAGCAAATGTCTCAGATTGATGAAACAAAGATTTAACCACTACAGCTTCTAATGACGTGGGAGGAAACCAGGTATCAGCTAATGCACCCACTCCTTACTGTCACACATGGTGACAGCAGCGTATAATTAGGGGCTGGAAAACCAGTTAGGATAGAGGGAGGGATGCAAGCAGACCTTTTCCAGAGTGCTCAGGATCTCAATGTGGGGTTAAGGTTTCCATTATAACAGGATGACTCAAAGAAAACAGTGGAGAGGATTCAAGAAGAAAGTATTTTTAGTGAGTCAGACAGAGGTAGCACATCTCCTCCTATCTGGTTGAATTTGAGCATTTCTGCAAAGAAGATGGAAAAATAATTCCAAAGCACAAATGTTCCAAGCTTGTGATTATTTCCAATATTTGAGACGTACCAAAGAAAGGGTGTGAATTTTTCTTCAAAAATGAGTTGTTTTCCATCTATTATTACAAAAGATCTCCACAAATATTAGATGTTTTTATTTAAAATGTGCAAAGACGGGTGATGAAATGAATCTAAACATGATCATAACCTAAAAACATTTGGACCATAAAAACCATTTTAAAGGAAGAAACGGCACGCTAACACTTTGTCCTCACCCTGCGCTCTTCGTCCATCCAGAGGCTGCTGACAAAAGATGGAGCCGTTCAGCTCCACAAAATGTCATGTTTGCATACATATTTCATGAAAGCACTGGGCGCGCGCTCTCTTGTTGGTTTTCATCCCTGTCAGCCCTATTTGTTTCCTTGCCTGAGATCACTCGTGAATGATTTCCTCCTCTGGTTGACACACTCAGTGTCAGACTGTATTTTCTGGCCAGCTGCAGCTTTTCAGCCCAACGCGACTGCCTCTGCCCTGAGCGTTGCGTGTCACACCCTCAGAAAAAATGAAAGTTGAGCTGTGAATATATTTTTGGACTGCTGTGAAACATTCTTCTAGAGAGCCGTGTCCTTCCCCAAAGAGACATTATCACCGTGATGTGACTCATCTCAAGTCAAAGGCATTTAATATCTCTTTGCGTTGAATGGATTCCTATCTTCCAGATGACTTGTTCAGGATATTAAAGACCCAGGGGGTTGGTCGATGTGTGCTTGTGCATCAGGATGGGTTGATCAACCTGTTGAGGATCTGCGTGGGGATCCTTATATGTGAGAGGAAGAAATGACTGGATGCTGCTTATGTGGTGCGACAGTGCATGTGTTGCATTAATGTCTTCATGTCCTCTGCTCAACTCTTCTGACTCGCCCAACAAAAGTTAAAAACGTCAGCTGACGCCTGATGGTGGGTTTTCTCACCAGACTTTCACAACCAAACAGGTCATAGCGTAGCTCTTTCAGTCCTGTTGCACATTTCTTTTAAAACGTTCCAGAAAGGATAAAATAAATACATCACAATTAGGAAGCCTGCAGATGGAACGCTATCCAGATTTTCTTACTATTGTGCTCAAATTCTCACTGACTTTTATGTTATTTTCCAAAATATATTTTGGATTCAGGATTTTTTATGCCTTTGACGCCTTCTCCAGGTCAGGGACGAGAAGATCTTGTTCACGAGTGAGGAAAAATGGAGCACGAGATCGATAGGCGGATTGGTGCTGCGTCTGCAGTGATGCGGGCGTTGTACCTCTCTCTTTGTAGTGGAGAGAGCTGAGCCAGAAGGTGAAGCTCTCAATTTACCGGTCGAGCTACGTTCCTACCCTCACCTATGGTCATGAGCTTTGGGTAGTGACCTAAAGAATGAGATCACAGATACAAGTGGCCAAAATGGGCTTTCTTCACAGGGTGTCTGGGCTCACCCTTAGAGATAGGGTGAGAAGCTTGATCATCCGGGAGGGGCTCGGAGTAGACCTGCTGCTCCTCCACATCAAGAGGAGCCAGTTGAGGTGGCTCGGGGGCATCTGGTTAGGATACCTCCTGGACGCCTCCCTGGTGAGGTTTTCTGAGCACATCCAACTGGGAGACCTAAAGGAAGAACCAGGACACGCTGGAGGGACTATGTCTCACAACTGTACACCTTTCAGCTACTTCTCTTGCTCAAAATGTCAAAATATGACAAATCAGAAGTATAGTTTTTGTTTGGCACAACTCACTTCACTTAAATTGAAGTACTTATGTTTTGCACAGATAATGTTTAAAGTGTAAATATGCATTATAGGAGATATGTGATGTTACTTACCTAAAATTGTTATTTATTTATT